GAGCTGTGCAGAGGCTGAGTGGGTGGTACAGGGGAAAGAGCATGAGATGTGGAGTCAGACCACTAGACCTGGATTCAAGACCTGACCTAACACAAGGTCCCGACCCAGCAGTTCTAGAACCTTTAATGAATCAGTTAACATCTTTGAGCCTTTATTTTCCCATCTGTAAAATGGGAATAACAGTAACACTACCTACCTCAGAGTTGCACTAATATTTGCCTAAGATTGTGGGGAAGTTTCATTGCCAGGGTAAAATGACCATCCTTTGCTACTGTGAAGTGGCACACCACTTATTTACATAATACTCAAAGTAATACCAACTCTCGTACAGGACAAAGCCCACAAGCGCTATCTACTGATGAGCATTGACCAGAGGAAAAAGATGCTCAAAAACCTCCGCAAGACCAACTATGCTGTCTTTGAGAAGACATGCAGGGAGCTGGGGATTGAGTACACCGTTCCCCCTCTGTACTACCGAAAAGCCCACCGCCGCTGGGCGACCAAGAAGGCTCTGTGCATTCGGGTACGAGTCGGGACTGCTGCTTTGGTTGGCCCCACTCCAGGACCGTGGTGGGGAGAGCATACGGGAGGGGTCATCTGTTTCTGAGCAAGGCGTGGAGCTGGCCCCGAGGCTTTGAGGTGGCTCCCAGGGCACGAAGCCCATAGAGAAAGGCTAGGGTGACCATCTGGGGGAGTCACTTCCCACCCCAGATGCTCGAAGTCTGAGGTTTTGCATAGCATTACAAAGTTTTTTCCTGCCCTCTCTCATCCCCAGGTTTTCCAAGAGGCTCAAAAGCTGAAGAAGCAAAAAAGGGCCTTAAAAGCTGCAGCTGCAGCAGCCCAGAAACAAGGCCAGAAGAACCCAGAGATCCTTTCCAAAACTGGACCAGAGGCAATCAAAGAAAACCAATAAATGTTAAAATTATGTCTTGCTGCCTTAAAGAATAACGGTAGAGAAGGTGGGGCTCTTAGTGGCCTGAGGACGAGGAAGAATTCATTCCATCATGCAACTCTGGGGTCCCAGGGATATCTGAGGCAGAGTCCCTGCCCTCACACGCCACGGGACGCATTCTCATAGCACACCTCACACACACTCACAGAAACAACCCCCTGTCCTCCAGGGGCCGTTCAGTGGAGGCAAGACTGAGCACACAGCAGCACAGAGGAAGCGTGAGGAGGCCAGCATACGAACTGCCTTCTAGATGGGGCCGTATAGGATAAGTGGAAGTTCACCGGGCAGAAATGGGAGCGAGGGCGTCCCGGGCAGAAGGAATTGCAGGTGCAGAGGCAAAGAAGTGTACAGGTGCATGCTGCATTCAGAGAGCAGCAGAACTGGACGTACAGCTTGACGGGTAAGCTGAAGCTGGGATATGAGAGGTTTCATATGCTGGCTGAGGAGACTCTACACAGTCCTCTACGGAGAGGGGAGACAGTTATGGTTTGAAAACCAAAGGCGTGATGATGGCAACAAGGCTGTTTGATAGTTAAGCAGCATCATTGTGGAGGTGGATGGGAGGGGGAGATATCAGAGCGATTGATTGATTGGGGGGCAGGGGTTTTGGTGTTCAGATTGAGAATCTGGTAAAAGCTACAGGTCCTGTCCCTAAAACTGCACATGTACATAACATTGCTTATAAATTCTGGGGTGTCATGGATAAGCCCTTCCCCACAAAGCCCACCCACTTACACCAAGTTAAGTGCCGAGGCCTTGAAGCCTGAGTATGCTTAACATGTTTGAAGAACCCAAAGAAGACAGTGTGTCCAAAACTGAGTGAGCAAAGAGAAGAGTAGGAGGTCCGAGAAGCAAGCAGAAACCAGGTGATATGGAGCTTGTGGGGTGTATTAGTCTGTTCAGGCTGCCATTTTAAAATACCATAAACTGGGACTTCCCTGATGGTCCAGTGGTTAAGACTCTGCACTCCCCATGCAGGGGGCCTGGGTTCAATCCCTGGTCAGGGAACTAGATCCTGCATGCTGCAACTAAGAGCCCGCATGCCACAACTAAAAGATCCAGTGTGCCACAACTAAGATACAGTGCCGTCAAATAAATAAATTAAATACCATAAACTGAGCGGCTTATACAACAAATTTATTTTCTCACAGTTCTGGAGGCTAGGAATTCCAAGATCAAGGTGCTGGTCTATTTGGTTTCTGATGAGGAATCTCTTCCTGGCTTGCAGATGGCTGCCTCCTGACTATGTCCTCACATGTGGAAGGAGGGAGAGACGGGGAGAGAGAGTGAATCTCTTCGTCTTATAAGGGCATTAATCCCATGATGAGGGCTCTACCCTCGCGACCTAATTCTCGTGATCTCCTAAAGACCCCCGAAATACCATCACATTGAGAGTTAGGGCTTCAACATTTGAATTTGGGAAGGACAAATATTCAGTCCATATCACTGTGGGGAAGACCTTAGACTTCATTCTGAGTGAGAAGGGAAGCCAGAATTTATAAGCAATGTTTTTTGTACGTGTGCAATTTTAGGGACAGGACTTGTAGCTTTTATCAGATTCTCAATCAACACCAATACCCCTGCCATTGAGGAAAGCCGGAAAGGAAGGAAGGTGTGTTAAAGTGATGTCCAAAGAGCAGCTGGAGACAGGTTTGGGAGTTATGTTTAAAGTGACCCAAGCCATGGGTGTGAGTGAAATTGCCCAGGGAGGGAATGTAAACAAAGAAGAAAGGACCATGTCTGGATGGGAAGAATGATCTCTGAGGGCATAGCCTGAGTCAGGAGGAGGTTAAGGGGAAAGTGAAGTGAGGGTGGAACCGAGGGCCTGGGATCCTGCAGAATCAGAAATGAGATGAGAGGGTCAGAACTGAAGATGAGCTGCTCAAATACCACCTCAGGAACAAGAGGGAAGGCCTTTTATGGGGCAGGACTCACAGCTACTTAAGAGGTATTGTGTGGAGGGCCAGGTGCTGACATGTAAGGGGGCTAGTGGAAAGGACAAGAAAAGGAACACATTCGCACATTCGTGGAACAGGCCCTTCGGGAAAGACATTGTTTTAAGTGCTGTGTTAGGCACATTAACTCATTTCATCTTTAAAGCCACCTTTACCTATTTGCCCCCCCTCACCATATTGGCATAATTATCCTCATTTTACCGTGAGAGAATTAAGGCTCAGGTTAGGTAATTTGTCCAAATTCACACAGCTGGTTAGGGGCAGGCAAGGATTCAAACCCACATATGTCTTGACTCCAAAGCCCATGTTCTGTTCATTATTATCACACAGCCTAGGGCAAAAAGTGGTCTGAGAAGCTCTGGTAATTACACTGTAGCAAACTCAAAAGCCTTTAGCAACCAGGCAGATAGCATAATGCATGAAGGCCAGGTGTAAGATGATGATGCTAAGCTGCTTGTTACATTCCCATCCTAGTTATATTCCCTTTTGTGCCCAGACCAGGCAAGATCAAATCAAAGCCTTGGGCTGCCGGCTTTCAACTACTGTATAGTATCCAATGCTGAGATGTCAGTTAAGGACCAAAAAGTCTTCATGGTGAAGCAGTTTCAGTAGAGTGGAGGGAGCTAAATCCAGTGGTAGTGAGGTGGGAAATGAGGATGTTATGGAAATTCAGGTTGTGAGTGTAGACTACTATTTTTTTATTTTATTTTTTGGCTGCATTGGGTCTTCATTGCTGCACGTGTGCAGAATTTCTCTAGTTGCGGAGAGTGGGGCCTACTCTTCGTTGTGGTGCACGGGCTTCTCATTGCAGTGGCTTCTCGTTACGGAGCACGGGCTCTAGGCACACAGGCTTCAGTAGTTGCAGCATGCAGGCTCAGTAGTTGCGGCGTGTGGGCTCTAGAGCGCAGGCTCAGTAGTTGTGGCACACGGGCTTAATTGCTCCGTGGCATGTGGGATCTTCCCGGACCGGGACTCGAACCCGTGTCTACTGCATTGACAGGCGGATTCTTAACCACTGTGCCACCAGGGAAATCCCTAGGCTACTCTTTTTAAAACTCGGCTTTGGGCTTCCAGGCCCAAAGCAGCCAGGCCCGTGGAGAAGAAAAGAGAGCAGTTAATATGGAGAAACAGTAATGCAGATAGAAAGAAATGAAGAGGTAAATTTGAGAAAGATTTTGGTGGAAAAAGCAGAATTGGTGACATAAGAGGACCGGGGGAGGGAGTTGGAAAGCAAGGCTAAGGTTTCAAGTCTGATTGGCTGGAGGGGAAGATGATGAGTAGGTCATAGAAGTATTGAAATTTACAGAAATGGTTGCTCATCAAAGTAAAAATGTGCAACAGGTGATGAGAAGGTGATCCTGGAGCTCAAGATGAGGGTGAAGTATGTGGTCACTGCCCTCAAAGCACAGAACTGGATGCCAGGCCTGCTTAACAGCGTGGGGGGTAGCTTCGGAGAGCCCCCAACACGCGTCTTCCGAGAGCGGGACAGACGTGAACAGGCCTGGTTTGCTTCCCTGTGTATGAAACAGGAGGGGCTACACTCCAAGTAGCTTTTAGGGAGGAAATGCAGATAATTCAAGCACTTCTGGTCCTTCCCCCACCTAAAAGTCAGTTACCATTTTATTGAGTGCTTTCGTGGCATTTTGTGATCGCAATAACACCTCTCTGAAACCCTGGAAGGTGGGTGTCCCCTCCATTTCCGTATGAGGAAGCCCAGGCTCAAAACACCTGCCCCAAGTCAAACAGCGAGGAAACTGCAGAGCTGGGATTCAAACCCAGGTCTGTCTGCCTGGAGTCTGCTCTAAAGGAGTTTTGCTTGGGTTTCCCTGGTTCAGGGGCACGTGGGCACGTGAGCACGCGGGCCGGCGGGGTGAGGGTGACCGCGTGAAAGAAGCCGGGCCGCCAGCCCTGCCGGGTACCCACCCATCCGCCGGGGCTCAAGAAACTCAAAACCGGCGCTCCGGGCCTAAGGCCCACGCCACTCCCACCTCCGGCTCGGACCAATCTACCCTGTAGGTCTTCGCCGCCCCGCCCAATACGCGTCCGCCCCCGGGCTCTTCTCAACAAGCGGCCTGTTGATTGGCTCTTCTTTGCCGGCCGCCGTGTTGCCTAGCAACCGGGCTTCAAGGACGCGTCTGACGGGCCTCCAGGCCTCTGGCTACCAAACCTCCGGGCTCTGTACCAGCTGCGTTCGCTTCCGACACCATGTCGGTGCGGACGCTACCGCTGCTCTTCTTGAACCTGGGTGGGGAGATGCTTTACATCCTGGATCAGCGGCTGCGAGCCCAGAACATCCCGGGAGACAAGGCCCGAAAAGGTGAGAGGGACCAGGCCCGCACAGCCAGACCCCGCCCCTGCTCTCGCAGCCAGAGCTCCCCAGCCAGGCCCCTTTACAGACTGACCAACACCCCTGCACCCTGCTCTCTCGTAGCCATGGACCTCTTTCACAACCCACAGCCCCATCCAGGCAGAGCCCTCATGAGCAAAGTCCCCAAAAGATCGTTTAACCGCGGAGGGATTTAATACCCGCGTTGGATATTATTAGGGAACCTGACCGCCCCCTCCCCGCCATTTACTCATCCCCTTAAATTGGAGATGATTTCCCAATCTCTCTTGACAACCGGTCCCTCCCCAATGTGGGAGTCCCAGTAGCCCACCACCTGGCGACACACTCTGCTAGTCCGAGCATCCTCTTTCCCCCCAGGGAAGCTTCTGAGCCTCCATTCCTCTGTGTGCTATCCTCCTTCATAAACTGGAGGCCAGTCTTGCTAAGTTCAGAAGCTATTTCTCGAAAGGTGAGGTTCTGAAGTAACATAGATAAATAAGAAAATAGAAGACAAGTTGTAAATCTTTTTTTTTTTTTTTTTTTTTTTTTTTGCAGTACGCGGGCCTCTCACTGCTGCGGCCTCTCCCGTTGCGGAGCACAGGCTCCGGACGCGCAGGCTCAGCGGCCATGGCTCACAGGCCCAGCTGCTCCGCGGCACGTGGGATCTTCCCGGACCGGGGCACGAACCCGTGTCCCCTGCATCGGCAGGGGGGGGGCCCACCACCCCGCCCCCCCGGAAGGCCCCCCCCCCCTTTTTTTTTTTTTTTTTTTTTTTTCAAGTTGTAAATCTTTTCCCTTCACAATTGTTTGGAGAGAATGCAATTGTGGAAGTAATGATATGAGAGCTTCTGAAGTGCAAAATGTGCCTCCTGTGCACAGCACATCTAACCCCAGAGGAAGGGCCACCCAGAACTCTCTGCCACCCCTTTTCTCTCCCTTTTTCCCCCTCTTCTCAACCAACAACTGTTTTCACCAAGTTTCCTGGATTAACTATGAAGGAGATATTATATTTCAAGGTAGAGGAAGAAAAGTTGGTATAAAGGTAACTGACATAGCCGCTGGTTAAAACATTTATTCTATCCAGCAGTCTCTGTATGCTCCATTGATGTTAAACATACAAATTCAGATGTGAAGCATACATATTCAGATATTCACTACTGTATCTGTGTAACTGAGTCCAAGTCCATGGATAAAGAGATAAAAGAACTCCCTATAGCATACCTCCATTCATTCTGTACACTGCTGCCCGTGAGCTTTCTAAACTGCAGATCCGTCCATACTTCCTGGTACCTGAAACCCTTTGTCAGCTTTCCACTGCTGTCTGGATGGAGGCCAAGTCCTTGGCAGGACATCTCAGGGCCCTTCCTGATCTGACCTCTGTCCACCTCTGCAGTCCCACCCTTCACCACTGCCTGCCTCCTACTGTGTATCTTAATACCAAACTGCTTGTAGGTCTCCATTTAAAGCATGTTCATTCGTGTTTGCATGCTAGTAATTCCCATTCTACCCCACCCCTCCCATTTCCATGCTAGTTATCCGCTTGCATCCTGCATTATTCAGCTTAAGAACCATCTCCCTCTCATCTCTGCATGGCAAAGGGCCTGCGCATACTCCCATAGCACCCCAGTGCGTCCCTCTCCACCTTATCGCTGGCCACATTATACTGAAATGGTCTGTATATGCGTCCGTCTCCCCCATGTGATTGTCTTATTCATCTTTGTATTCCAGCACCTAGCATAATGCCTACAACAGAATAAATCAGTGCTCAGTAAATGTTTGTTGAACTGCTCTTTTGTATGACATTGCCATTTCTCCCTCAAAAGGGTTCTGTCTTCCTTGGTGCTATGTTATGTGATTTCATCTGGGCTCTTGGCACTAGTGAGCTGACAGGCAGTTCTTGAACTGGTAGTCTGCATCTTGGAAGGCAGTGGAAATTAGCAATTAAGAGCATGCTCTCTGGAGTCATACAGATATGGGTCCCAATTCCAGTTTTGCCATTTAACTAGTTGTGTGACCTTGGAGTGTAACCTCTATAAGCCTGTTTCTTTCTCCATAAAAGGGGGATAATAATATGCACCTTACCATGAATTTGTAACGATCGAATGAGGTCATGTATTTAACACGTTTAACCCAATGAGTAGCAGATGCGGTCTTTCAGGAGGCAGTCTGGGCAAGACCCTGTGAATACTAGGGTACTGGCTTCCTTTGTGTTCAGGAGCTGCAGTCCTTCTGGGTTTGCTAGATACAGCTTCAGGGAGTTTCAGCCTCCTTTCGTAATTCACCTTCACACACTCATTCCTTCCACAGTTGGGTTGAGTGTCAGATGCCATGTGAGATGCTGGGTGGAGCCTGATGCAGCCCTTCTGCACATTCACCGGAGGTAGGGCTTCTGATCAGTCTGTCCAGTATCTGACTCTAAACTGGGGGATATGTCTTCCTAATACAACAACAACAAACATTTTTTTTAATTTGTTTATTTTATTTATTTGACCTCATTGGGGCTTCGTTGCTGCATGGGGGCTTTCTCTAGTTGTGTTGAGCGGGGGCTACTCTTTGTTGTGGTGCGCAGGCTTCTCATCGCGGTGGCTTCTCTTGTTGCAGAGCATGGGCTCTAGGCGCACAGGCTTCAGTAGTTGTGGCACATGGGCTCAGTAGTTGTGGCACAAGGGCTTAGTTGCTCCGCCGCATGTGGGATCTTCCCGGACCAGGGCTCGAACCGGTGTCCCCTGCATTGGCAGGCGGATTCTTAACCACTGTGCCACCAGGGAAGCCCCAACAAACATTTATTAAGCACTTACCATGTACCATAGATGTCTCTGAGCATCTTAATCCCCACAACTATCTTATCATATAGGTAATAGTCCTGTCCCCAGGACTATTAAGTAGGCTAATTTGCCCAGGGTTACATAGCTGGTAAGAGGAAGAGTAAAGGATTTGCACCCAGGTCATCAGACTCCAGAGCTCATTCTCTTCACCTGTATCCTTGACTGCTGCCCTGTACTTCCATACCCGAGGGGACTGTGTCAGAATCTTTGTGGGGGGAGTGGGGTGGGGAGGGGACTGGAAGATTGGGAGGAGACAGAGAGGTTTGGAAAAAAAAAACAGTATAACCACTGATTTTATAAAAGAAATGACAGAAAGTAGTTGGTGGATGAGGACCTGCAGAAGACAGAGCGAGAAAGCAGGGCAGAGAGTGCAGGATTCAAAACATCGAGAAACACTCATCTCTTCCACCACTTAGAGTTGGTGTAGCTGCAGGAGCAGGGGCCTCTGTGACAGATGCCCCTGCACAGAGGCCTATAAAACACCAGACACGGTAAACTAGTCCTCACTGAAGATTTGAATGGAAATCGTATTTCTTCTAGATGTTTTCACTGCCTTATACAACTAATTGGTCTCCTGGAGGCCATCCTGCTCCCACAAGGCCAGTGCAGATCTTGCAGTTTTTCCCCACAGTGCAGCCTCTAGTTTAGAATTCAACAGAAAGGAAGTGCTCTCTCTGTGGGGCAACTTTTGAGTGTTGCATATTGAATGCGGTCCCATGTTTAAGCAATCACGAGAATAATAAAAGCTGCCTTTGCCTCACTCCCACCCTCTTAAAGATACTCATCAGTAAGACCCTCTTACATTTTGTCTACGTTCCTCAGCTGACAAGGGGAAACTGAGGCATGGGGCCATTACGTGATTTTCCCAAGATGCGCAGATCACAGTGTAGTACTGAGCAACCAAATGCTGTGAGGTTCTGTTTTTATTTTTCTAGTTCCAATTTAACAGGCAGCTCTGGATATCCTTGGGCCTACCTCCCACTCAAAATATACGTAAAGTGGAATTGTCACAAACAAGTCATCTGGAGAAATAATAGAAAAACAGGGCATCCTTTACCTTCCCCAGATCCTCAGGAGGAAGCAGGCCAGGAGCACATAGCACGACAGAGACCTCTGCTGGAGCTGATTGTCACTGCCTGCAGGAGTGCCTGGTAGCCCTGGGCATGTGTTCACCAGCTCTGTTTTGTCAGCAGCAGGTAATCACTGTCCCTTAGCGTAGGTGAGCCCCTGGCAGCCCCTCTGTTCCCAAACACACCTTCAAGAGGGTTGCAGCTCTATCTCTCTGAATTCCCACGAGCCTATCAGGCAAGACCACCTGTAAAATAAATGCCACGAAATGATAGAAGATGCGGACATTATGCCAAGGAAGCCAGCATCTGCTTTAAGAAGGCCAGACTCGTGGTGCTGCTTCCCCAGTGTTTTCTCTCCTAAACCCTGTGACTCTTGTGGGAGAAAGATGATGAATTTTCCCAGAGGAGTCTGACATTGCAGTGGGAACCCTTTGCAGTTAGTTAGGACATGGCACTGGCTGTGCTTTCAGGCCAATCTCTTCGAAGCTGTTGGTATTGTGTACTGAAGGCACATATATGCTTTGCTTACAACCTCAGAAATCACCTCCCAAACAATCTAGTGCAAATGTTTCCAAACTACACCAAAATACAAAATGTTTTTGAAATGTGGATGTGTGTAGAACTCTGTTTATCTGTGGGTGGTTTCTCTAGATTGTAATCTCTCCCAAAAAATTAAGGAAAAAAAAAAATCACCATCCTTTATGGGTGGTGTCCAAAGTTCTGCAGTAGAGAAAGCAGAATTAGGAGAGAAGCCAGCTAAGTGCCTGATGTGTCTGTTTCATCCCCACAACAACCCTACAAGGTAGGTGCAGTTATCATCCCCCTTTCACAGATGAAGAAACTGAGGTTAAACAAGCTGTTTGAAGTTATCTAGCTAGTAAGTGGTAGAGCCAGGTCTCAATCATAAAGGGTCTTGATTCTCACAGATTTCTCTAGCCAAGTACATTTTTCCTTAATTGGTCTCTTCTTGGCATCTCCCTGACTACCTTTGTCCTCAGGAGCTTTCTGTACAGTGGTCCCATCGTTATTTCCCTCTTTTTACATGGAAGTCATGCCTCTCTCTATGAAAAGTAAATCAGAAACAAATAGACTTTTTTCCCTATTAATTCACGTTTCAAGTTTTTTCATTTGAGCGGTTCTGTCTGTACTCTAGAAAGCGAAATCTTACAGTAATAAGAAAATCTGGTTGCGAAGAAAGAAAATCCTTTCTCTCCCTGTTCTTGGGGTTATTCTTCCTTGTGGAAGTTAGTGTTTTTAAAAGCCTTGTATTGAATGATGTGTATTTTCAGAGTGTTAGAGGGGATGACTTCTTGAGCCTTTCAAGATAAACCCCAGGGTAGCTATAGTCCTCCTGAGCCACCCTTTGTAAGATAACAGCCTCCCTAGGGCTTTTTTGGAGCTTGTTGTTTAACCATCATCCTTTTAAGAGTTTCAAATGGAAGGCAGAGCATTTGCATTAAACATTAATGCAAACATGAAAAATAAAATTTCATAAGCCAGGTAATTGGAATTGGTATTTTTAAAGCCTCATTGAAAATAACGTTCTTGCTTCATGAACTGGTGTTTTCTTTTTATATGCTTCATGTAGATGAATGGACAGAGGTGGACAGAAAACGAGGTATGCTATTTCGGGGCTGCATGTATTCAGTCTGCATCCACATGTTCACCCAGTCCTTCGTCAGCGGGGCTTAAAGTGGGACCACTCTAAATATTTCCAAATAAAAGAATAGGTGTGAGTTTCTCTTTAGCTGAGACATCGGTTATACATTTGAATCTTTTACTTAAATAAATACAGAGTGGAAGCTGAAAACCAAGGAAACATTGGTCAAAGGACCGTATTGCACCTGAGGTATTTGTCCCTTTTCATCAGTTCCAAGCCTTGCAAGGATAGCTGGAGCAGTAGCTATATTTCTGGATAGGCTGTCCTATTTAGTCATCCTTAAAACAATTCTGTGATAGCATCGTGTAGCCTAAGAGCTGTTCTGCTTAGCACATGGAGATATCTGTTGAACAACCGAGAAAAATGGAAGCCTATGGCTGCACGGCCGCCAGGATTGTGTGCAAAAGGCATGACACGCACGCACTATGGCCTTATCATGCCAAATCTTCAGTTTCCTCTTCACCTACAGCTAGCAGCAAACCTGAAAAAGTTGTCGATTCCTCAGAATAAAACCTTAGCCTTTCTCACCTTTAACTGTCACGAATATCTTCCATCATTTGACATTTGGGTATAGTTTATGCACGTCATAGCCAACGTCCTCGATGTTTTAAGTGCTCTCCCCACACCAAGTATGCTGAGGAGATAATGTATATAATATTTAAGAGCACAAGCATTAAAATCAAACAACCCCATTCTAATTTCAAGTCCACCGTCTGCTGTGTGATCTTGGGCTTTAACCTTTCTAAGGCTCAGTTTTCCCCCTTGACAGAATTGGATAATAATTCAGAGTTGTCCTGGGGTTTAAATGAGATAATGCATGGAAAGTTCTAAGCCCAGTACTTGGAACATAATAAGGCTTCAAAACATGGTAATCATGCAGAAGTAGCAGCTTCTCTGTTTTACCCTTGGTTCCAAGTTGTATGTTCCCATAAACAATAGAATTTACAGCAGAGGTAGCTGATAAAAACTCAGTTGCTTTCATCAAGAGAATTATTTCATCAGACCAGGCTCGAAGAAAGGCCCAATCGAAGTGGTTGATACTCTTTTATGATATTTCACAACCATCTTTCACCACTTCTCTTGAGCAATTTTTGGCCCACCTCTCGACGCACGGCAGAACTTCAGGTGAGAAGTATGGATTTTGAAGACGCTTCGTGTAAGTAATTGAATCACTGGAATTTATCTTAACTTAAGCGTCCAAAAATAATAAGCAGGACCTGACTTCATAATCTGACCCCGGTATTAGAAGCCTGTTATGTTAAGAACTCAGTTATTGACACTTCCAGTGCACCTGTGAAAAACCACCCCACTCCCTGGCTTTAGTCTCCTGATGAAATCTGGCTGCTAGCACATTCCTGCCTCATGAAAGTGTGCAGAGCTCGTGAGAGTGCCAGAAACTAACACCAGCACCAACTGACAGATCAGGTTAAAACTATTTCTCAGGTTTAACTTGAATACGGTGCAGGCTGCTACTCTTGGGCAAGGACAGAGTTTACTTCCTCTTTGTGCCCTGCTGTTCATCTCGGTGTCTGGTACTCAGCAGGCCTCCATCAACCAAGTGCCAGGTGAAGCACACTGTGAGATATCAGCATGTTCATTTGTGCCCCCAAAGAATTAAGTGAAAGGTGGGCGCTCTGGGTGCCAGGGCCCAACAGTAAAACTGCCATTTCCTCTTGGGGACATTTGTGTTCACTGCTCTGCCCACAGGGACAGGGCCTGTTGTACTCTCTTTCCAGCAGAACTTTCTGGAAGTTCTCGTGCAATGAGCCATGGTGATACATAGCTTGTTCACTTCCCCCAGGGGAAAGGCTTCATTTTGCTTTTCACTTTGCCAGAGTGGCTAACAATCACCTTGGGATTTTCTTTCCTTTAGAGCTGGTTTATTTGAGTCTAAGCTATTTTCCTAGATTCTGCTAAAGGCTCAAAGACTCTAGGGACATATTTCAGCCCCTAGGTGAATGGGAGCTCTTTGTAAGCATGAACATAATCAGAGCTGGTGTGATTCTTTAACTTGAATTCTTCCTCTTTGGCACTCCTCCCTGGCCTACATACACCTATGGAAAATTCTTCAGATTCTCTCTTCTGAGGCTTTATATGTGTCTTTCCAGTTGTAGCTGTTTCCTTGCAAATTCTACATGTTATATAGGCTGTGGTAAGAATAATGTCAGAAAGCCCAATTTATTGCAAGTACTTGCTTGGTTAGGTCAAAGGCAAAAGGCTGTGCTTGAGGCAAACCCAGAAGAGTTCGTCTGTCTCTAGGGAGACAATGGGGAAATGTTAGTGCACATCGAGGGTAAGCTGCCCTGGGTTGGAACTGTCCATTGTGAGGGATGCCCTGTGTTGGTAATGGATCTGATTCTTCCTCACTAATGGGATGGAGTATAGAGTAAAATCCAAAGGTCAAGTGTGAGTTCAACACTTCTGGAAGGAGTCAGAGTCAGTTCGTTCTTTTGTGTCTTGGCGGGGGGAGTGGGGAGGGAGGTGTTTCTCTTCCCCCTCTCCCCTCTCTCTGTAACCCTTCCATTTAAGATTTAAGTACGACTAGCCCTCAGCTCCCTGCTTCTCCCCAAAACTGCTCTTTGAGATACTTTAAAATGCTGGCCTGAGCCCTCAGTGTACGTCTATCAGTTACTTACAGGTTGAGAGGGTGCCCGAAATCATGACGTTGCCTTCACTCTCTAAGATACAAGGCCACAGCCAGTCACCTGGTGTGTCCTCTGTGTGGCAAGAGAAAGAGGCGTCTGTATCTTTCAGCAATAATCACCCACGTTTGATCATTGATTTTGTATAATTATGTTAAGTAACCAGTTTTCTTTCAAATTTTAATTACTATGAATGTATAGTCTCAGCATCCATATACACTCACCTTTAGGCAGGAATATATCTGGCTTAATTAAGAATAATCTGTGTTCAACCATACCTGTTCTTATTTCTTGTACCAAAGGGTTTTCCTAGCCCTCAACTAATGTTATTTGATTAGCACAAAATATCTAAATGAATGAGTGAATGAAAAACTAGAATCATAGAAACTTTGGTTTGCACATGCCTTAGGACCTTTTATTCTCACCATATGGACATTTTCCATCTGAACAACAGTATGAGATATATCACTACAGTATAATATCAATATTATAGATCATATATAGAAATTAAGGCATCCTAAAATGGTGTTTATCTGAAGTACACATCTTATAGAAACATTAGAAAAGTTTTCATCTCTAACCAGTGGGTAGACTTGTCTATTTTTGTAAACTGTTTTGCAAAAATAAAAGAGTCAATTACCATTATAGGTCCCATTTTTATAAAATTTAAATTTAAGTAAAAATGTTATAGACTTGCTAAACAAACAAACAAAACAGCATGATGCTGTTTATCATTTTAAGGTAGAGCTCTAATCGAAAAGAATCTTTTTTAAAGATTCTAATAGGAATCTATTTTAAAGAAAGAAGAAACTTATCCCCTAGCACCACGTGAGATAATGTATGTAAAAGTGGTTTGTAACCATTGAAGCACAGCATATTTGTACATTGTCACATGTATGTTTTCCCTGAGATGGTCTCATAAAGCACTCCTGACCCTGCTTTCTACTGGGACACCTGTGTGGTTTCTCCCCAGGGAGCAGATCTCACCAAACACATCCACATCCCCACTCTACATAGGCCCAGCTCCTCCATTCCATTCGTCCACAGGGAGCATTTCCTGAATAAAGCTTCCGCCAGTACCTTGCTCAGCTGCATCTTCTCTTGTCTCTACAGTTCTGAATGACATCATCTCAACCATGTTCAATCGAAAGTTTATGGAGGAATTGTTCAAACCCCAAGAGCTCTACTCCAAAAAGGCCCTGAGGACAGTCTATGACCGCCTGGCTCACGCCTCCATCATGAGACTAAACCAGGCCAGCATGGATAAGGTGAGCAGACAGCTGCCTCTGTCCCCTGGGCTGCATTTCTTGTAGATGATCACAGACTGGAATCAAATGAGATGACGCATGCAGTGGTGCCCGGCAAAAGACAGGCACGTGTGAACATGGGTTGTTCTTGAGTTTCAAGTTGGGAAGGACCTCAGAAGTCATCTGCACCAACCCCTGTGTTGTTTATTCCATTATGTCACCCAAAGAGTGTGCTGATTTGCATGTCCATGTTTAGGAACACCTTAACCCAATACAAGCACCCAACCCTAAAAGCTTTAATTCTGCTTCTTCCTTAACAAAGCTCAGCTCTGCAAACCAGGCATTTTTTTTTTTAAAGCAAATTCAAAACTGCTCAGTCTTTATTGGGTTGGCCAAAAAGTTCGTTTGGGTTTTTCCGTAACATCTTATGGAAAAACCCAAACGAACTTTTTGGCCAACCCAATATTTGTAATATATACATATCTGTTTCTTTGCGAAACCAATTTTTGGGCACTCTGATTTTAAAAGGAATAATTCCAAATAAATAATGGCAGAGAAGAGATAAATCTCCTGTTCCTAAGAATTCCAAACACTTATATAGATACTCTGCCCTCAGGAACAGAGAGCATAACTCCCCACTGCTTGAATGTGGCTGCACTTGGTGACTTCCTTCCAAAGAAGACAGTATGGACAGGAGGGGCAAAACAGCTAACTTCTCAGTGGAAAAACATGGCAAATATTACCTCAAGCAGGTGATAACATCAACAGTGATAAGCCATGTGGTGGTACCCTGATATGATGTGATGAGGATAACACTTTGCCTCTGTGATCTTCCTCCCAAAAACCCACAACCCCAGGCTGATCATGAAAAAAACATCAGACAAATACCATTCGGGGGTCATGTTACAAAATACCTGACCAGTCATCAAAGCTGTCAAGGCCACCAAAAACAAGGAAAGCCAGAGAAACTGTCACAGCCAAAAGGAGCCTAAGGAGACATGATGACTAAATATAATATGCGATCCTGGAACAGAAATAAGACATTAGGGTAAACTAATAAAATCTGAATAATACATGGACTTCAGTTAGTTTTTTAAATAATGATAATAATAATTCCTTTTCAAGTCTCTTCATGATGTGAATTTTTTTTTTTCCTGCGGTCCGCGGGCCTCTCACTGTTGTGGCCTCTCCCGTTGCGGAGCACAGGCTCCGGACGCGCAGGCTCAGCGGCCATGGCTCACTGGCCCAGCCGCCCCGGCATGTGGGATCTTCCCGGACCGGGGCACGAACCCATGTCCGCTGCATCGGCAGGCAGACTCTCAACCACTGCGCCACCAGGGAAGCCCCATTATGTGAATTTTTATAAATCATGAGGACTGACAGTGGGTGCCAGGTGTGCAAAAATCAACACTGTCTCATTGCTGGTACCTGGAAACCTCAGAGAGACAGACTGCCTTTAACTATGCCCTCTTACCTTCTGCCACTTACCTTTAGAAAGTTTCTTTCTTTCCCTGAGCCTCCGTTTTCTCATCTATAAAATGGGGATAATAACAGCTACTTCATCAGTTAGTGGGAAGATTAAGTGAGAAACATAGCTATAACGACACAAGAAGGCCTAGCACATAGATGTTCGATAAATGTTCGGTATCTTCTCTTCTCTGCTTGTTCCTCTCACTCTGCCTTTAAGAAAGTTTAGGTTTCCACTGAGAAAAGACACAGAACTTGGAATAAAAACACCTGGGTTCAAGTCTTCTTTCTACCAATAGCTCTGAGATGCAATTGACTGAATAATTCATCTGAACTTTCATTTGTTCATCCTATACCTGGTTTTATCCTTTATTCCTAGCACAGTGCCCTGTACACAACAGGTACCTAACGTTTTTTGGTTTTTATAAATTTATTTATTTGTTTATTTATGGCTGCGTTGAGTCTTCGTTGCTGAGTGCGGGCTTTCTCTAGATGCGGCGAGCAGGGGCTCCTCTTCATTGCGGTGTGCAGGCTTCTCACTGCGGTGGCTTCTCTTGTCGCAAAGCACGGGCTCTAGGCGCACAGGCTTCAGCAGTTGTGACTCACAGTCTTAGTTGGTCCGCGGCATGAGGGATCTTCCTGGACCAGCGATCGAACCCATGTCCCCTGTATTGGCAGGTGGATTCTTAACCAGTGCACCACCAGGGACGTCCCAGGTACTTAATATTTGATGATGATGACGGAGAGTCTTAAATCTACATCTCTAGTATCAGACACACCTGCGTGTGTGCGCACACACACACACACACACACACACACACACACACACACACACACACACACACACACACACCAGGCTGCTCCTGCTGTATGCCACCTTCTAAGCAAGATGTTTACCTGCATGTTGGAGAAAGGGGATCGTGTAGAGGGTTCTAGCACGTGCTTCAGGATCTGACCGTCTTTAGTTTCAAATCTCACCCCTGCTACTAAGCACCAGCTATTGTGAAATTAGGCAGACTTCTTCATTTTTAAACTCGGGATAATACGTACCTCATAGAGTTCTTGTGAAATTAAAGGGGATCAGTTGAGGCCACGCGTATCCACGTGCTCGCACAGCACTCAGGTGGCTGTAGTTTAATTCCCAAGCCCACCTCAGATGTGTCCATACCTTCTCTCCCAGACTCCCCTGCCTCCGTCGTAGCATCATGTATCTCCCAGGCACTAAGTTGGAAATGCTGTGGTCCTTTTGGACAGCCCTCAGATGGTCTCCCGAATCCAGTCAGGCGAGCACCACGTACTGACAGCTTTTTCCTCCTGAGTGTCACATGCTCTTCTTTTCCCTTCCTTATCCATCCCCACCATCTTTATTCCAGGCCTTCCATCTGGGTCACTGCAACAAAATTCTTTTCATTCATACAGTCAGTAGATGTTATTGCCACCCTCTTAGGAGCCAGGCACCAGCTAATCCTCCCCACTCCAGTCTCTCCCTTCTCTCGCATCTCATCATGGCCAGAGTCACCAATCTCACTTAATTACTACTTTTATCACATCAGCACAGAGCATTTCAGTAGCCCCCTAATTCCTACCGCATCTAGTCTAGATTACCTTGTCCATCTTTTAAAACCTCTAACATTCCAACCTTGCCGTACCCACCTTTATTTCCCACCACCCCGAACACAAACCATCCCCTCCAGTCAGGCTGCTCTAGCCTTTCTCCCGGGAAAATAGCGTGGCTGTGGCTCTGCCTCCAGACCCCACACATGCTGGTCTCCTCCACTAGAACGCCTCTCCCCTCCCTCAGCCAGCGGGAGCCTTGCCTTGAGTCTGTAGCGGGCCCGGCTCTTCCACAAAGCCTGTCGTGACCACTTTGGTCCTCACCAGTGTCTCACCTGTGATCTTCATGGGTGGTCATACCGCACTTGGGGCTTGTTGATCTCTTACTAAGTTCCGTTTTTCATCTCATACAGTCGTGGAACTTCATTCTTGCCACTTTCACATGTGTTTTCTCATTTACTCATCTCAGCTGTTCCGCAATGTTGGGAAATTAGGGAGGTTTTTTTTAATATTTATTTATGTATTTGGCTGTATCGGGTCTTAGTTGCGGCATGTAGGATCTTCATTGCAGCACACAGGCTCCTCTCTAGTTGTGGCACTCGGGCTCTAGAGCGCACGAGCTCAGCAGTTGCAGTGCGCGGGCTCCAGAGCGTGCGGGCTCCAGAGCGTGCGGGCTCAGTAGTTGCAGTGCCGGGCTCTCTGGTTGTGGCGTGCAGGCTCCAGAGCACACGGGCTCGGCAGTTGCAGCACATGGGCTCTCTAGTTGTGACGCGCAGGCTCCAGAGCGCATGGGCTCAGTAGTTGTGGCACGCAGGCTCAGTAGTTGTGGCGCAGGGCTCTCTAGTTGTGGCACATGGGCTCTAGAGTGCATGGACTCAGTAGATCTGGCGTGCAGGCTTAGTTGCCCTGTGGCATGTGGGATCTTAGTTCCCCAACCAGGGATCAAACCCGCGTGCCCTGCATTGGAAGGAGGATTCTTAATCACTGGACCACCAGGGGAGTCCCAGGAATATTTTTTACGCATGAGAAAACTCAGGCTTAGAGAGGTGAAGAGACTTGGCCAGGGCCATCCAACAAGTCAGCAGCAAGGAGGGCTTGAATTTGGGTTTTCATTCTCCATGTCCAGCACCTTGTCCAGGGCCCCCCAGCTGCCCATACTGTTTCATGTGTAGTCCATCAACAATACATGTAAGCTGGCCAGAAATCCTGGTTTGCCCAGGAATATCCTGGTTTACTCCTGTTGTCCCAGCTTAATTATTACTATCACCCCCTTTTTACTCTCAACAGTGTCTTGGTTTGAGTGATGACTAGATATGGTCACTGAGCTGCATGATAAGCCCAGAATTGGTTTCCGGTAAGTGCCGACTGAATCATTGTTTGAGGTTCTGATGTCTGCCTTTATGGTCCTATTTCTTTTATTCACGTATGGGTTGGCAGCTCTATGACCTGATGACAATGGCTTTCAAATATCAAGTATTGCTGTGTCCTCGTCCCAAGGATGTGTTGCTGGTCACTTTCAATCATTTAGATGCCATCAAGGGATTCATCCAAGACTCCCCAACCCTCCTGCATCAAGTGGATGAGACTTTCCAGCAGCTGACTGAAGTAAGCGTATCGTCAGTTTATCACCTCTCAGCCCCAGTACTCGTTCTCATTCCTCTGTTAAGGACAGGCAGATTCTATGACAAAGAGAACAGGGTGAGGAATGACAAAACCTGCCTCTCCTAGAAAACTCTCAAAATCTACAGGTATCCATTTTGGAAACACAAGAGACATTATCATCTTATACCCTCTCACTGTTGCCTTCATAATTGGGGAAGCAATGATACAGAGCATAGCTGTTCTCGCCTAACTTTTCTGAAAGGGAGTTGGTGGTGGATGTTCTATAGAATCTTGGGGAACAGGGGAGGTAAAGTGCACGCTGCTCAGTGTGCCATCGTGGGGCTTGTCCCTCAGGCGAGGGCGCAGTGCTGGCCCTCCTGCCCCGCCTGCCCAGCAGTTGAGTCCTCTCCTTGCTCTCTGGCTCCCATCCCTGGGCACCCACCCACCCCCGCCTGTCCGCACTTTCCATCTCACTTCTGAAAGTGGAATGCCTCTATCTGCTTTGCCTCCGCAGATATACGGGGGCTTCTCTGCGGGGGAGTTCCAGCTGATCCGGCAGACGCTCCTTATCTTCTTCCAGGACCTGCATATCAGGGTGAGTGAGTGGGCGGCCTGGGAGCACCCTGCCGCTGCTGTCCTGGGGAGACAGGGTGCAAATCTTCAGGGCAGATAAGGCTGGGATTCTGCCCAGTTAGCAACATCCTCGGTGTTTGGCTCCATGCCCATTGCAAATCTCAGCAGTTTTTCAATGGACCAAGGAAGACAGTGATGCCACCATTCCCTCCCAGTTACCTTATGTGTTTCTTTAAAATGTGGCTTCTTCCCGTGCTTTCCCAGGCCACCAGCCTGATCTCAGTTCCAAAACCTTTTCTCGAGCCTTTATCATCTTGACTTCTCCAGTGTCTGAGCTGTCAGGAGGCTGCCCTCCTGCTGCATGAAACTGTCACCTTTCATGGAGTTTCCTGGCACCATACCGTCCTGGCCTTCCCTTACCTCTCCCATCTCTCTGCCTTTCACTCTTCACCATACCGTCCTGGCCTTCCCTTCCCTCTCCCATCTCTCTGCCTTTCCCTCTTTCCTCCCCCTCCTCCTGTCTCCAAACCTTCCCCCTTCTGCCTCTACCCGCCCCCTGCTCGTGAGGAATCGCTTTCCTCCCACTTTGGCTGCCGACTGACCCTTCCACCTATGACTCCTACATCTAACCTCTACCCAACCCTTGCCCCAGCCCTGCCATCCAGACCCACATCTCCACCCGCTTGGGGAGACACTCCCCCATACCCACAACCTAATGTCTGTAGCTAAACTAGTCTCCACAATTCAAGTCCTGCCCAACTTCCAGTTTCTTTTCAGGGCACCACCATTCCCTCACTCACTCAGCTCAGAACCAGAGCATCACACCTTTGATTTCCCTTCTCTGACCTTCTAATTGTTTCTATGGCCCATCAAGTCTGCCTTTTCACTCTCCACGCCCTCCTTTCCATTCCTGTCGCCACCAGCCCAGCTCAGGCCTTCCTACTTCTTGTTGGCTCTTGCCTCCCAGTTGACCCTGCCTCCTCCAGACAGTTCTACACCCTAACTTTGAAAAACACATTTCTGAGCTTCTGAATTTGGGGCCTGTCTCTCTTGCACAGGACTTTGTTCCTTCCCAGAATTTAACACGCTGGTATGGGAGGGTGGGTGATACAGCAAAATGAGCCCAGGCTCGGGAGTCAGGCACTCCTGTGCTTGAATCCCACCTACAGCACAGCTCCATGACCTTGGGCAAATTACTTCCCTGGTGCCTTAGTTCGTCATCTGAAAAATGGAAATGATAGTACCAAATTTAGGGTTTTTCAGGAGGATTAAGTGAACCATCACATGTAATATATATGTATTTGCTTGTATATATATATATATATATATATATGTATATATGTATACACTATAGAATGCTTCTGGCAGGATGTACAGGAAACTGGTCACAGTGGTTGGCTCCTGGGAGTGGGGAACTGCATGGAGAACAGGGATACAAGAGAGACTGACTTTCCCTCGTGTACCCTTTGAACCTTTTTTCTTTTTTTTTTGGGGGGGGGTGCCGTGGCACACGGCTTGTGGGATCTTAGTTCCCCGGCCAGGGATCGAACCTGTGCCCCCTGCATTGGAAGCACAGAGTTCTAACCACTGGACCACCAGGGAATTCCCACCCTTTGAACCTTTTAAATTTTGTATATGTGCACGTGTAACATATTCACAAAATAAAATTCAAAAAAAGAAGAAATAGAATATGCTTAGAACCTGATTGTTATTTCCCTCCTGTGGCAGGGAAAGACAAATAGATTTCAATGCTGAGGCTAATTTTATTTTTAACCCCCATGAATAATTTCATTTGCTATGGATGGAGCAATAATAACATCAATATAAATTAAGATCTCTAATAGTCACCAATTAAAATTAAAAATACGAAAGTACAAATAAGATTAAGTTTCGCATTGCTTTAAATATTAAAAACTCTGCATCATATGGTTGTCAAGACTGCATATTTGGACATTATTTTATGGACTGTAGTAATATAAGCAGCCATATTGATTTCTCAATTCTGGCAAGATAAAATTCATTATGATAAAAAGACTTTCCTAATAATGTCTATAACAAAATCATTAAAATATATTAAACCACAAAATATATTAAGCTTTAATTGCTAAATGGGCAGGCAATGAAACATCAGAATGTTCATCAAGAGAAATAGGAATCACATATCCTGACATTACTCAGCCACTGATCTGTAACATCTGGCTGCTTTTCCACATCTGGTCTTTAATGGTATTTCTGCTCAGCTGCAATTTATGATTGCCTATACAGATTCTCTCTATGCTTAAAACAACCTCCATAGTTTTTAGACTTTGTTAGCAAAACTAACTAAATCAAGAAAACACAGCTCTGAAAACTCCCTTGCTCATTGTTTAACCAAAGCAAATGCAAGACTCCTCATCCTAATGTCCAAAGCTTTCTGTGATATCACAAAACAACGTGAAGTGGCCTTAGTATGGTCAAGGCCTGACTTGTGCCCCAGGCCCCAGAGGCTGCACGAAGACCGCTTCCATTTGGAGTCCTGAGCAGTTATGTACAACCATCTCAAGTCCCAACCCCCTTCAGCTCTCCAGAGCCCCTCCAGAGTTGCCTTCTAAAAGGTGGGCCCTCAGGTCACCCACCCTCTTCCAAATGCTCCTTCCCACACGTGCGTCTTCTATCATGGACTTGCTTCCTGCGCTCCCCCTCTTCCAGTCGTTGGAAAACATAACTCCATCTTCGCCTCTTCACAGCATGGTCCTTACACCTCCACTCCATTATCCACTCCACTTGGAAATAGTTCATCCCTGGAAAACTAGTCCATCTAACAAATATGTATTGAGTGCCTACTCTACACCAGGCAGTTTTCAGTCCTGAGACACAGAAGTGAACAAGGCAGAGGCCCTGCCCTGAGGAGGTTCCGTGCTAGTAGGTAGAGACAAGGAGGACACGTAAATCGTGTTATGGCTCTGATAACTCTTAGGAAGGCGGCCATATACAGTAAAGTTATAGAAGGCAACGGGGACAGGATGTTGCCTTAGACCAGCACTGTCCAACAGAGCTTCCTGTCGGTGATGGAAATGTTCTGTATCTGTGCTGTCCAATATGAGAGCCACTAGCCACATGTGGTTGTTGAGTACTTGAAATATGGCTAGTTCGACAGAGAAACTGAATTATTGATTTAATTTAAATTTAAATAGTCATGCTTAACTGGTAGCTACCATACTGGACAGTACATCCGTAGTCAATAGAGGCAAGGACAGCCTTTCTGAGGACAGATATTTCCGTTGAGAGTGTAATAACAAAGATCTCAGGGGAGAGCATCTAACCTGAAGGGACAGCTAGTTCAAATGCCATTAGGTAGGAAAAAGCATGATATGCTCCTTGGACAGAGCGAAAGCCAATGAGGATGGAGCATATCTAGGCAGGGGTGATATTTAAAATAAAGTTAACCACCTGTGCAGCATGGGCAGTAACTGATCAGAAGAGATGCCAGTCATGAATAAACTGGTACCTACCTACCAGTTGACTTAGCTTTGGACCCTAGTAAAGGAGTTTATTCTAAGAGTAAAGCAAAGATCTGGAGCATCTTAAGGTGAGTGGTAACATGATTTGTGTCTGGAAGATGAATTAGATGGGACAAGGGTAGAGGTAGGACAGCAGTTACAAAATCTAGGTAAAAATGAAAGCACTTGGATTAGGTGCTAGCAGTGGAGACACATATGGAATATACCTTCAGGGCAGGGCCAGTAAGATTTACTAAGAGATTGGATGTGGGGAATGAGGGGAAGAAGAAAGAAAAACTCCTAAGTGGCTGGTGCCATTTTCTGACTGGGGGAAGGACTGAAGGGAAGTGTATTTGAGTAGAAAAAAATAATCAATTCTATTTAAATTGGATTTGTTCTCCAAGTAGCAGAGTCAAGTAGGTAGTTGAATACCTAATCCTGGAGCTCAGAGGAGAGCGCCAAGCTGGAGACGTTAATGTGGGAATCCTCAGCATACAGCAGAGAGACGGTATGCGAAGCCTTCTGGCCACCTGAAGGAGGCCGCTCATTCTCCCTCATCCTCAGGCAGGATGTGAGAATCAGGGTCAGCATTCTGCCAGCTTCTCCCGGTCACCTTCCGATCATTATTTTCCTGCCCTCACAAACTTAGCCTTCTTGTAAGGCCAGTCCAGCAACCATTACACCATCCGAAGCCCTGCAGTCATCCCTCACTGCTGAAACCGACTGCCAAGTCACTCACCCACATTCACCAAGCATTTACATCCCTGGCTCACTTCCTCTTGGCCACCTGACTCCTACCGTCGTCCTGTGGAATGTGGGTGCTCATGGAGATGTCTCATCCAGCACTCCAGCCCCACAGCTCCGTGACCTTCATTCCCTCTTTCCATAGGAAACGTGGGTCCTGCCTTCAGGGCCTCATCAGAGAAGGGAAAGTGCACTCAGTACCTTGGGTATGTTTGGTTCTGACCCAGAAGAGTGTGAAGAGAGAGGACACAATGTGGGCCATGGCCACCTCTACCCAAGAGCATCAGGGAGTCTTCATAGAGGATCCAATAGCTTTTAAAAGAAATAGGTTTGGGGGCCCTGGCTGTCCGATGGTTAGAACTCCATGCTTCCACTGCAGTGGGCTCGGATTTGATCCCTGGTCGGGGAACTAAGATCCCACAAGCCATGTGATGTGGCCACAAAAAGAAAGAACGAAAGAAAAGAAATAGGTTTTCACCGGGACCGTGGGAAAACAGGAGGAGGGGTTAAGAGGACACTATCTCAGTAAAGGCACAGGCATGCAACCACCTGGTGTAATTGGCGCAGGGGGCCAGAAAGCTGCAAGCAATCGAGTATGGCGAGAACACAGGGTTCAGGGAGGAGCGTGGCTGCGGAGAGGAACAAGGGTCAACTGGACATTATCTGCCAGGCAGCAGAGAGCCAGTGAAGCAGGAGAGGGACACGGTCAGATAGGAGTTTAGAAGAGTCTCTCTAACAGCAAAGTGGAGGATGGATGAAACACAGATGAGAGCAGAGGCAGGGAGACCAGTGTGGAGGCTCTGCAGTGGCCAGGCTGGAGGTGATGAAGGTCTGCACTAGGGAGCAGGGTAGAGAGGAGGGGCCAGACACAGAAGTGATCACCAGGTGGGCAGGGCTTGGCGACTGAAGGGCCATGGGAAGGTGGTGGGCAGGGGACTCAGACTGCTGACTTGGTGACCTGATGGTGTCATTCACTGGGATCAGGTTAGGGAAGACAGCTTGAGCCCTGTTCTGAGTAGGGTGAATTGGAGGTGCATCCCATGGAACCCATAGGTGGACACGTTTAATAGGCAATGGGGTAGATGGTTCAGATGCCCAGGGGGGAAGACTGAGTGGAAGCTCCAGATCTGGGAGCCATCAGCGCAGAGGTGAATACTGGCGTATGGGTGTAGATGAGATCACCTCGGAATAAAAAGGGTGGAGTGAGAGGAACAGGGCACGGGAGAGTCACACCTACAGCTGAGGGCCAGCAGAGGGGCTGGGCAAGCAGGCAGACCCCAAAGTCCCATCCAGCCAAGGACAGATTCTCAGGTCAAACACACAGTTGACTTAAATTTGTACATGTCAGATCTATGACATAGTCAACCCTGTTAGAATTAGCTAACACGAGTCCAGTACCTACATATGGTCTCACTTCTCTCTCAAAATTTTCCCTCCCCATGCTTATATTCATATCCCTTGGTCACAGAATCTCAAGGTTAAGAATTCCTTAAAGCCAAACCCTCCAACCAACCCAGCGTACACATTTTCCCCAAAACACGCCTTGTGCCTGCCCATCTCTGCTTCTGAAGTGTCTTCACACCCACCTTCCTCCTCCAGGCCCAGCTCCAAACCTGCAGTTGCACCTACCCACCCCCTCTGCCTGTGGTCGTTCTCCTCAGTGGGCTCATCTGCATATTCCATTCAGCATATCGTGTTTTATAGTGTCGTCGTTCTTCCATTCTATGCTGTGTCCTGTGCCCAATTAGACTGTGATACTGAGAATATTAGTTATCTCTTATTGAGCACTTACTATGTGTCAGGCTCTGTGATAAGTGCTTTTTGTTCATTATCTGACATAGTGGTCAACTAACCCATTGAATAGGTTCTGTTATTATCCCCAGTTTACCAAAGAGAAAGGTGGTGTAACTTGCCAAAAAACCCAGAGCCAAGGAGAGGCCCAGCTGAGGTGTGAGCCTGGGCAGTCTAACATCGGCAGGCCAAACTGCCAGCATACAAATCCTTACCACTTGGCACTTTCACTGCCTTGCATGCAACAGATGCTTATTCTTGATGATATTACTAATGTCATCTTGTAGAATTTTAGAGTTTCAAGGGACCTTCAAATGTACCTCACTTTACAGATGAGGAAGCTAAGCTCCAATAAAACTGATTTTTTTTTTTTTTTTTTTTTTTTGGGGGGGCTGTGCAGCTTGCGGGATCTTAGTTCCCCGACCAGGGATTGAACCCAGGCCACAGCGGTGAAAGCACCAAGTCCTAACCACTGGACAGCCAGGGAACTCCCCAATAAAATTGATTAACTGCTACAATCTTGATGGGATTTAACCTGCCCAAGACCTGAATACAGAGCGCACAAAGCAAGGAGTAGAAGCAAGCATCACGTAGGGTTTTCAGGCACAGAGAAGACCTTCAGACTCTAATGCCAGCTGGATCCACCGGTCCAGCACATAGCTGAGAGCTTGGAGTCAGAAACACAAGGGTTTGAGTCCTAAGCCCTGCCCCTTATGAGCTGGCTGGCCTAGAGGAAGTGTCTTAACCTCTGAGCCACCAATTCCTCATCCGTAAAACAGAGATAATGAGGTTCTTATAGCTCAAGCCTCACAGCTGTATGGAAAGTTTGCAAGGAACCAAGGAATGGGTGTGGAATTTGGAGTCAACCTTGTTTTTGAATCCTGGTCCTGTCTCTTTTTGTTCTCTTTGGGCAAGTCATTTCACTCTGTGAACCTCAGCCTCCTCATTAAGGCAGGGGTAGCACTACTCACCTGGAAGGTTTGATGTGTGGCGCCAAAGAAGTTCTGTGTAAAAACACTACACCTCTGCAGGTGTTAGCTACGGTGAGTTTTTCTCTCTTAGGTAGCATTCTTAAGCCATTACACACTTTCCATCCTCAGAATGCATATGTCTATGGAAATATATGAAGAAAAATGACAGTAAGTATTTTTTTTCCAGGTGTCCATATTTCTAAAGGACAAAGTTCAGAATTCCAACGGTCGCTTTGTGTTGCCAGTGTCTGGGCCTCTTCCCTGGGGAACCAAAGTTCCCGGACTCATCAGGTGAATTCTCAACAGTAATTGTCAGACCAATGTTTGGGGTGCTGGGAAACCAGTACGTGGGCCACCACGTAGAATGTAGCCCTGCTGGGGCCCCTCCTTTTCTTCAGTTGAGCACAGCAGTGAGGAGGTGAGGTTTAATCCCAGCTTGTCACCTCGCAGACACTTGAAGCAAACCACCCAGTTCTCCAGGATTTATTTCTTCATCTATTGAATGTTTACTGTGAGGATGAATAAGATAATACTGTAATGCTCCAAAGTGCTACGCAGCACCCGGCACATAACATGTACTCAATAAATATTATTATTATTATTATATTACTATCATTACATCAACCAGCATCTTTATCTTGAAGCAGTGCGCGCATTCCCTCCGGTCCCATAGTTCCAAGATTAAAGAAGCCTCCGGGACTCTCCAAGCTTGGAGAACACGTCATCACGTCCTACTTTGTATTGTAGGACGTTCAACAACAAAGGCGAAGAAGTGAGGAAGGTAGAATTCAAGCACGGCGGGAGCTATGTCGCTGCCCCCAAAGAAGGGTCTTTTGAACTCTATGGAGACCGAGTCCTGAAACTGGGAACTAATATGTAAGCAAATTCCTCCTTCCCCAAATGAATTCAAGTCCAACGGAGGTCCCTTCACTTAAAAAACCAGCTTGACTTCTGCTATGAAAAATCCCTGCTGACGATTGGAGGAATTTCCCCTTAGATACACGGCATGCAGAGCCCCGATGTTTCCAAAGGGCACCTCAGATTTCCCAACATAAGGTAACTTAACAAGTTGAAAAGATAAATAATTTTAAATAGCCATGCAAGAGAACTAGCCAAAACCTCTGTTGCAGTGGCGATCCAAAAGGGCCTGGCCTTCATGTACCGATCACGTTTTTTTCAGAGATACACATTATTTTGCCAGGGAAAAAATTTCCACACAGCTTCCCAGATATTTTGTTTGGGGAAGAAGCAAACTTTGAGTGGTTGACACCCACTTAGTTGTATTCTGTATTCCCAGCACCTTTCTGGACACTTTTAAATGCCTCAAAATAAAAACTATGCACTATATTTATGAGTTAGAAGGAAGTCAGGGTAAAAGGGCTGGACGGTGTTTTCGTGGTTTTCTGTTGCCACCAGGTACAGTGTGAACCGGCCCGTGGAAACCCATATGTCTGGAGCATCAGAGAACTTAGCTGCACAGACACAGGTAAGCTTCTGCCTCCCTTGTTTATCTTCATAGCTTATTTCTAGATACAAGAGTCTGGACGGGGAGAGGGGGGGATCTCTAGATTTCGGAGCTGGCCAACAACATTTCCCTCATTGTTTGCAGTCTTCTCCATTCCGCCTTACCAGTACACAGGTTTTTTTGGTTTTTAATTTTATTTATTTATTTATTTATTTATTTTTGGCTGCGTTGGGTCTTCGTTGCTGTGCGCGGGCTTTCTCTAGTTGCAGCGAGCGGAGTCTACTCTTCATTGAGGCGCATGGGCTTCTCATTGCGGTGGCTTCTCTTGTTGTGGAGCACAGGCTCTAGGCACACGGTCTTCAGTGGTTGCGGCTCACGGGCTCTAGAGCACAGGCTCAGTAGTTGTGGCGCACAGGCTTAGTTGCTCCGCGGCATGTGGGATCTTCCCGGACCAGGGCTCAAACCCGTGTCCCCTGCATTGGCAGGTGGATTCTTAACCACTGTACCACCAGGGAAGTCCCCATCACACAGGTTTTTAATTACAGTTTCTCATGGAGACTTCCAGTGATCTGGCTAATTAGGTAATTTTAAGCTTGGCTCCCACCATAATTAAGCAGGAACCGCATACCAGGACATGTGAAATAGCATTGTACCAGTGCTACGAGGTCTGTGGTTGCTGAGTTTAGCACTTGTGTGTATTCTGATCCTTAAAACATCCCTTTTCAATGCTTCCCTGTGTAATGATGTGGATGCTAAGTTCAAAATGGGGTTTTTGGTTCTCTGAATTCTGTTGTACAAATTTTCACTGAACTAGCTACCAGCTAGCTATAGGACAAATCATGGAATATTCAGGTATTCTGTAAACATTTACTGAACTACGTCTATGGGCTGGGTTCCCAGGACACAGAGCTGGCTTAGACGTAGTCGCATCCTGAAGGGGCTTATAAAGACGGTGATGGAACAAATACCTACAACACGGCGGAGGACGGAAGATGCTCGCTGAGCATTCTGAGTAAAGAGCTGTATCAGAACACATGTCCTGTCCAGGGGGTTGGGAGCAGGGGACAGGGAGCAAGAAGGCTTTTCAGCAGAGGCGACATTCAAGCGAGTCTGTAGACTGAAGAAGATACTAAATAGCCCAGAGGGAGAAGCAGGCATACAAACCCAGGTGACAGCACGAGCAAAGGCACCCAGAGGCAGCGTGTTGGGGGAAGCGGGGAGGCAGCGTCTCTCCCACATGGCTAGATCATAACGTGATAGCAGCAGTGGTCAGAGATTTGCCCGGGCAGGGACATGGGGCCTGATTCAAGAGGCAAAGCAGGGAAAGGCTGGGTTACAGAGAGCCGGTTAGGAGGAGGGGGGAAGGCTGCAGTGGGACCAGGCAGTGTGAGTGGAAGCCACAGGACGGAAGGGATTCGATGGGGGGACGGGGGGAGGGGTTGTTCACGGACACCACCTGAGCGCAGTGTGGTGGCTCCCATGGGATGAGTGCCCTTGGACCTGGAGCCTCCCGCCTGTAAAGGCTGGGGAACTAGATTGCCTGAAGGAGAAGCAACGGTCTTCTCGTTCAAGGAGGAAGGTAATTTGAGGAGAATGGGGATCCCTGGGGCCTTCCCCTCATCTTGAGAATTCTGGTTTGTGCCTTGTTAGAGTCCCTCTGCTTCTGACACAGGTTATTTCTCTCTTGGTTAAGCCTGTTTTCTATGTTTCATTTGGACCCAGTCCTTCCCAGAAGTAAGTTAAACTGTTATCGTTTTGCCTTGTTATATAATACCACCCCGGGGCTCTGGGGTCTCAGCAGAAAATGTGATCTCCTTCATGTGGCTAAACATCACGAAATTGTTCCTGCAGGAAAGCATTGCTCCAAACCCTCTTGCTAAAGAAGAGCTGAATCTCTTGGCCAGGCTGATAGGAGGCATGGAGATTAAGAAACCCAGTGGCCCTGAGCCAGGATTCCGGTTGAATCTCTTCACCACTGACGAAGAGGAAGAGTATGTTTTCAGCCTGTTTCTTTAAAGACCTAATGTATAAAAATCCTAAGTGTGATAAGAGCCGAAAAATGACTGTTACAAACCAATGACACTGATAAACACAGATGTAAAGGTCACAAATGAAATACCAGCAAACTCGATAACCTAGTTAAAGAAGAATCCACCAGTATTAAATAGCCTGAACTTTGTGGATTCATTCAAAAAACAGTTCTAATGTTTCATTTAGCAAAGTACAACTCAATGAGAGAATTGGAAGTCAAGATAATCATGTTAACAAAAGACTGTTAAACCAGAAGGAGGTCGGAGCATGATATCTTTGGGATCAGTCTCCCCCAGAACCAGTAGTGGTGGCAGTTCACTGAGACCGACACAGCGCTTCACAGTTTACAGAGCACCTCTGCCTTCATTATCTCATGTGATGCTCCTCGCAACCAAATATTTGGGATGGGGGTTGCCTTCTATTTCCCTCTCCACTGAAGTGGCAGGTACTGTGGTACGTGTGGGGACCCACAGATGGAGCGGAAGACCTGGGACCTGTCCTCAGGCACTCCCAGTGTCGTAGGAGCATGAACACGTGCACAAGTCACTCGAGCGCCATGTCATAAACACCAGTGGAGGACACGGCGACTGACTTTGCACCCGCGGATTGAAGGAGGTGGCAACTGAGCTGGGTCTTGGAGTTTGCCAAGCAGAGGAAGGGGAAAAACATACTTGGCAGTAGTATGTGCAAAGGCACAGAGACATAAAAGGACTTCTTGGAGTGTAGGGTGCACTGGTTGGGGACAGGGTAGAAAGTTGAATGGAAAGGGCAGAAGGTGAGGCAGAAAAAATAGGTTGCCAAGTTATCAAGGGCCAGTTTGCCACACTAGCAGGGAGAAAACCCTAACCTTTGACCCATTTCTCTACCATCTTGTGCAGACAGGCAGCGCTAACCAGGCCAGAAGAGTTATTCTATGAAGTTATCAACATCCAAGCTACTCAGGTGTGTGCAGGGGATTACACAAGTCAATTCTTATTCCCCTCCTCGTCTTGTAATAACATTGAACTTCAAAGGCCCTCCCTTCTCCCCTCTAATCCGCACGTAATGTAGTCCCTATTCTGACAAACAGGTGAGGAACTGAAATGCATCACAGTGGTGGGAAAATTAACTACCAACTGCACAAAGAGGCCATGGTGCCCACACATCCTCCTCATTCCCTTCCACCTCTCATTTCTCTCACAGGACCAGCAGACGAACGAAGAGCTGGCTCGGATCATGGGGGAGTTTGAGATCTTGGACCAGCCAAGGCGGAGTGCCAGCAAGGGCGATGATTTGCTTGCCATGATGGATGAGTTACAGCTGTGCTGACCAGGCACGACCCTCCCCCTATGGAGAGGCTTCTTGATGAGGACCCTGGGGGACGTCCCCAGGGAGCCAAATGATGCTGCTAGTTTTCTACTAAGTGAAGCCCTTCCTTACCTCTTGTTCCTGTTTATGTCCTAACGAACTGTGCGGGTCTCCCTCAGGGAGCACAGTCTCTGGAAGGCACACACACATTCATATTTTCAGCAAAATATATTCTGGCTTTTAAATTGGACCTTTCCCATGTTCTTGCTAGTTTTATGGCAATCAAAGCATCCGGAGCCACAGGTTCAAGCCTGAGAGTCAGTAAGAGGGCGCTCCTGTTGCCGTTTTCATTACAGCTTTGCCCAGGGGACCTACTGCTCACAGATGCCTGTGAATCATCACAAAACTTCGGAGCTTTCTCAGATGTATTCTGCCTTGTGAGTTTGGCGTAAGTGGAAAAGGCAGTTGCCTCAAAGAGTCGGGGCCCAGTTTATAGAGCCCTCCTCTCCCTGGCACTCTGGGAACTGTCACCTCAGAGGCAGAGGAAGCAAGGCCGCGACAGGGAATCCTCAGGCAGGCCCCGCGCAGAGCGTGTGGGTGTCTGTGGTTCTCCGCACATCCCTCTATCCGTATGTAGTGTGGACTTATCCCATATGGAAATGTGTACCAAGGAAACAGTTTGCTTTTTAAGAATGATACGTCCTCCTTACCCCCAGAGTCTTCCTCTGCCACTTAGTGTTCTTGCCTTCTAAAGACGCCCAGCATGATGTGCCATGACATCTGTCTCCTCTGCTTCGCCATCAGTGGCCAAGCAGAGCCTTAAGTTGGATGTACGGGAGGTGCACACGGTGTACCACTTTCCCTTCCGTGCACCAGATGAGTGACTTCCCTTGGCAGGATGCCAAGTCTAATTGGGATCCATGAGAACTCTCTCAGGCCAGGGCTGCCCCGATTGCTTCAGGAAGGAGGGTCAGCCCTCCACCTCATATTCATCCTGAATTGAGTAACTAACTGGCGGGCTCAGGATCAGCCAATATCCAGAGGTCAAGGTACATTCAATCCCATGGAAGCAATATACCCAGGACGGCAGACGGTAGGAGAGAAACTGAGCTGAGCTGATCATTGCCTGAGATCGAGCCAGCCGCCAGGACCACTCAGGACCCTTGCACCTTAGCAAGAGTTGAGGCGAACATATTTCTGGAATGCAAGGGTGCCTGTCCTTTAGCTTACCCAAGGCATAGGGTTTGGATACAGAAGGGTAAATCACCCAATAAAGTTGCTTCCTACCCATGAAAGTGACTCTTTCTTACCCACCAAAGGCCCCAGAAGGTCCGCTGAGGAGGAAAAGCGCACCGTGCCGTGTAAGCTGCTTCCTACAGGCTTACCAAGTGCCTCCAAACTGCTTTAGTCTCTTTTAAGCAATCTGGCCTCCAGTTGGGGTGGCCTGACTGCATGACAAGCGAAGGGGAAGGCTCTGTCCTAGGTCTGGCTGCCATCGCACTGCCACAAACCTGAACTTCACTGTCTGCTCCGAGCTTGTCCTGGGGCCTTGGAGGTGGGCCACGGGCCGCTGAGAAGCAGCCTCCTGCCTCCACCTATCCCAGAGCCGTGCTGATGATTTCAAACCTATCTGTTCTCTCAGTGAATAAACAAGATACAGATCTCTGGTAAGGCAGCCTGGTGATGAGGCAGTCTTTGAGTTTCATGTCTCTAGACTTGCACAGATGTTGAGAAAAACAAGTTTATTTGCATGGTGGTTCAGGGTACCCAGAGAAAGCAGGGGAGTCGGGAGGGAGCAAAGGAAACAGAAGGCGAGGATTACCCTGGCAAGAATGTGGACTGAGTCCTGACAAGGCATCATTGTTCATTTAACACCAGGCCACGGGGTCTGAGGGTGTCACACAACAGTGCCCAGTGCGCTCCGAGGGAAGGCACACCGTGGTCCCCGGCCCTTCCCCGAATCCACCACGGCGTCTTAGGCAGTTACCCTCACCGAGCCTCAGTTCTCTCATCTGTGAGAAAGGAAAAGGACTAGTTCATCGACTCAAAGCCAGCTTGCCCCAGCTAAGTAGCTGAGTTTACAGATTCTTAGCCCCTGCCCCAAGTGGGGTCTGAGAACTGGAATTCTACCCACGCCACACTCCCCCACCCCACTCCATGCTTTGGGAGTATATCTGCTCTCTTTCAGCAATTCTGTGACTTAACCTCTTCTCAACTAAGTTTTAAACTGTCCTGCTCTTGTTCTTATCACAGTGTTGGAAGGCCCCGTAGAACATGCAAGGCAAAGTTCTAGAAAAGCCTCTGAACAAAAGTACTTTAATGGCTCCCAGAAGAAAGATGTAATAAAAATTGAGAGTGAAGGGGAAGAAAAAAAGGAGGAAATGTATTTAGCCCTTAGTTCTAGGATGAAAGTCATCCCATGCAGTCCACATAAGTATGTAACAATTTTAAAAGATAAACTCACCTTTTTCCTTTGATCCAGATCCTGGTAGGCGAGAAACAAATTCAAACATCATAACCAGATCCTGGAGATCCCCAAGTCTGAACAGGATCAGATTCCCTCATCCTCTTCCACCTGTTTTGTCACTCTGGTTTACATCCATGGAGACCAACTCAAGCCTCAGGAAACCACAGAAAGACAAATGCAAATCTTAGGGGGAAAAAAAAAAAAATATATATTGTGGCTGCTTTCCACTGGCTATCTATTTTACATTTGGTAGTGTATACATGTCCATGCAACTCTCACTTTGCCCCAGCTTACCCTTCCCCCTCCCCATGTCCTCAAGTCCATTCTCTACGTTTGTGTATTTATTCCTATCCTGTGCCTAGGTTCTTCAGAACCACTTTTTCTATTTTTTTGATTCTATATATAGATATATATATATATATATATTAGCATAATACCGAATCATAAAGACCCAAATTAAAATCCAAAAACTGATACACTGTTTACCTCCCCCTTCCTCCCTTTGAATTATGCCCTGGAAAACTCCTCGTCAGCTGCCAAATTCCTGGACAGCTGGCAGCAGAGGGAGTGAAAAGAAGTGTTTTCAAGGGACTGAGCTGGAGAACGCTCTTCACAGTTGAATCTTCCCTGCCCAGTTTCATGATTCAACGTGAAGTAAATTCTCAGATCACAGCCACCTCTTTCCAGATGAGAATGTCAAGATGCGTTCCAAGGGCCGATGGAGATTATTCTGGATTACTTGATCCCCTTAACGCCCCCACCCCCACCCCACATACACACACTGTGTTCTTTCTGTTTCTGGCCAGTCGCTCCTCTGATGTCACAAATAACATTACCTTCTCTGTTAGTTCCCAGAACCATAGGAAACCCTAGCTGCCTTAGGCCTAGCGAGGCCACACCACTAGGTATGGCCTTTTTTTTTTTTTTAATTTCATTATGAAGGTGAAGGACCTGCCAGGGTGGGTCATTAACACTAGTCCCAGTATCCTGGGAGAAAAATAAGAGGAAGAAAATAAAAGTGACTTCTTGAAAGTCACAGAGACAGCTGAAATTACAATAAAGGAAGTTGTTTAAATTCCCATCTCTTACATAATTCATCCAAAACCACTGTCTATAAACTTCATATATTGTTCCTCTTTATTTTAGGGTTACTTGATACATACAACTTTAAAACACACAAAGGATAAAATAAGTATTATAAACAAAGCTTTATAGAGCTGGGGGCAGACCCAAGACTCCTAAATCCTATATGTGCACATTGGTTTCAGATCACTCCACCCTCCTGCTCTTTATAAAATTCCCCAGGGGCTGACTTTTCTTTCAAGTATTCAAGGGGAAGGTCAAGGATGCTTGACTTGGGTTTTCTGGATATCCAGAAGGCCTCTCAGCTTCAGTTACAACTGAGAAGATAATACCTGTGTCACATGCCCTCCCTCGCCTCTCCTCTCTACCTCACCACATCTTTTATCTCTTTTTCCTTACCCAGACCCCTTTCTGCACCTCAGAAGTTCACCGGGGACTTCCCTGGTGGTGCGGTGGTTAAGAATCCGCCTGCCACTGCAGGGGATACAGGTTCCATCCCTGGTCCGGGAAGATCCCACATGCCTCAGACCAACTAAGCCCATGCGCCACAACTACTGAGCCCGCGAGCCACAACTACTGAGCCCGCGTGCCTAGAGCCCATGCTCCACAACAAGAGAAGCCACCGCCATGAGAAGTCCGCGCACCGCAACGAAGAGTAGCCCCCACTCGCCGCAACTAGAGAAAGCCTGTACGCAGCAATGAAGACCCAACGCAGTCAAAAATTAACTAATTAATTAATTAATTAATTAACTAAATGTTTTAAAAAGTTCACCAAATGGCAGCTGGGGAGCTCCTCGGTCCAAGCCGCTCCCACGCAGCACGGCCTCTGCTCCTCCAGGGCCTCCTCAGCTCACTCACCAGCTCTACAGGCTTCCTAGCTGCCTCGCCTTCCTCCCTCCTGCCCCCCATAGCTCCTGCCACTACACAGGTAGGTCCCTTCTCAAGTCTCCAGGCCTCAACTTTGCTGGACCCCACCACCTTCTCTGCTCCCCATTCTCCTTGGCCCTGCTCAAGACCCTTTTCTTCGTAAAACTCTCTCACCCTTGCCTCGGGGGCTCCAATCTTACTAATTTCTTTTCTTTCCCCCACCCCACCAGCCATGCCAGGCCCACTTGCAGGATCTGAGTTCCCCAACCAGGGATCGAACCCGTGCCCCCTGCAGTGGAAGTGCGGAGTCTTAATCACTGGACCACCAGGAAAGTCCCAAATCCTAGTGATTTCTGACCACACTTCTCCTCTCTCCCCCCGTGGCTTCTGACAGAGGATGGCCCGTCTTTGACGCAGGCATTAAGGTAGCCATTTCTAAGTCTGTCAGAACGGCCAGGGCAACTGCTGGAGGATCCTTATTTCATCCCTGGCGTTTTCCCCCACCCCCATCTTCACTCTCACCTCATCTGTCTCTCACACTCCACTTCTCACCTTCACCCTGTCCCTTACCCTCACCCCAGCACTCTTGCCCAGTGCTGACCAAATGTTTTATGTGCCCTGCAGTGCTTAGTTTGCATTCTTCTGCAAATTGTTTTGCATCCCTTTTTTCAGAGAGGCCATTATTTTCAACCAGTACTATTAACTCACAAATCTCTGTATCCCCCACCTCACCTTGACTGCAGACTCACTTTCCCTGAGATGCTCCATCACCCTTAGTGTCTAACACTGACGTCATTTTTATTTATTCAGGACATTTATTTCACTTTTGAAAG